TGCCATAGTATTCGGGATTTCCAGCATTGAGTCATTGGCTTGGTGCATTCCCATGGCGCAATGCTGGAAAGGGCAATGCTGGCAATGCTGCGCAATGCTGGCAGAGGACACGGGACTAGGTACGTTCCACAAGGTCTCCCAGACGATCCGACCAAGTTTCGAAAACAAGGTCGAAAAAACACTATAAAGCTAAAGGAGACTGCGACCAAACAGAAGGCCACACCATTTTGGTCTTCATATCTAAGGATCCAATTATCTGGAATCGATTACCGTTTAATACGTTGAGATTTGATATACCGTTTATGTCTACTAGTTGCAGTGATTGAGCTCTGAGTCGCCTTTCTTTACCATTATAGGTCTGGGTGACACCTGTAGCCTAGTGACTTCATCTAGTTATTTTCCCACCATTCAATTCAATATTTCCTTCTGCATAATAGGCCAAGATTGATGCTTACCGCAAGACTGGTGTTGCTCCTCTCCCTGCAAAACCCAATGCGACATCAACAGAAACTCCCACTGCTGCTGACTCTCTAGTTGCGGCAAACCCTATTGTAAATGGCATCATTAAACGCAGCTCCGCCCGCCACATTCTACACACCAACGATGTTTCAGATGGGGCTCGCGATAGGCCGCCGGTTTCAGATCTCATTGGCGCGGACCTCAGGCCTTCACGCCATGTTGTTTGTGACTCATTACAATCGGAATCCAGTCTTTGGCTGGACGATTTGGTGAGAAAAGTTGTTGACTAGAGCTATTATTCTCATTTTTATCATTAACTTGACTTATGCAAATCAACTCATGGTCAATCGGTTCAATTCTATGTACAACCCACGCATCATTCTTTAACATATTTCAAGCATTCTTTGCCTCCTCAAAAGGCAATTTGAGAGGGCATTTTACAACATTTATTGTAGCCGTTTAAAATTTAGTTTTGGTTATATTGTCCGAAAATTTTCGACCTTCATTCAGTGGCAAGCCTACCGCAGCAATTAAATTCCATTCAAAAAACCTTTTGGGAAATGTCCCAGAGTACTCAAGGTTCACCATAATCTATGTTGATTTTTAAATGCCTAAGACAAATTCCTACATGGCGACTAAAGTGAATGAAGTGGAGGGCAATAACATTGTTCTATTTATAGACACTATATGCCCTGGAAATTCCCCCATCTTGGCATATGGTGCATTATATAAGTCAATCATTTTCGAATAATTAGTGTAAACAAGTATACTTGCCATTCATATAAACTGATAATAACGGAATTGAAAAAATAGCCATGTAATGAACAAACCTATTTACCACTAGTGGGATTAAATATTTAAATATCTAAAATCCAGCCTCAAATGACCTTCCAATAGATTGTTCTTTATTTACTAAAATTTCTTGCTTAGATTGAGAGTTAGCTGATTTAACAGGGGAATATGCGATCCATTATCAAATTCGGTCTTTAGTTAAGGAAGCTTTTTGCAAAACTTTGCAAGTATTTAATAATGTCTAATTTGTCACAAGAGAGTTGTACATTTTAATTAAAAGCTAGTTTAATTTACGCTTAAATCCAAATTCATCCATTGATATTGACAAGAATCCTTTTTAGCAATCATTTGGAGATCGTATATATGGCCAAGCTGCTGTGGCCTTTTGTATAATGCTAGTTTAATTTCGTTTTCGTCGGGACAACAGAGAGATCTTGTGGCACCTATCTAGCCCTGCGTCTGTCATAGTATCCATGATTTCCAGCGAACCTTTGACACGGTACATTATCAGACGCTTCGCCGGCATCGTGATTTGCATCGTCAGTGAGAGGCCCTATCGTTAGCACATAGTTGCAACTTATCAAGGTGATGCTGGCGGAGCGTTTGGGGATGTACCATTTAAACGGTCAGATGCTGGAAATCATAAATACTATGTCAAAACCCAAGACTATGTACGTTCCACAAGGTTCCCCTATTGCGGAATTCGAAAATTGAGCTTGTTTTTATAATAGTGAAATTATTATTTTTAATTGGTTCTTAATTAGGTTAAACCATATTATTTTGAGAGGGGCTCATTAGCATATTACGCCCTGCATGTCACATTAAATTTATTATTACGTTTAAGCTATTTTAGATTAACGTAATTTAGGATAATTGTTGGTAAGCGCCTAATCTAGGTATGTTGCAATTCTGGGCCTAATTTAGAGTTTTACGACACTATATTATTAATTGGTTATATGCAAAAGAGCGTATATTAAGGATTAATGATTTATTAATATTATAAACATTCTTTGTTGTTGTGGTATATAATCTCGGATCTTCTTCTGTCCTCGTTTTCTATTCTAAAAGATACAAAATTAAACATTTAGAGTAACTTTAATGCTGGTTTTTACTAGTTAATCTATTACTCCTAACTCCATTTGTAATCCTATTTTACCAACAAAGACGGGAATTCAAAGTGATTTTCAATGTCGATCATCGGACGACGCTACGCCTACTACACAGCCTCACCAAGCACTTCGGCACACCTATATCCCTCCGCATCTGAATCCACCGGACCATCTCTTCGCTCAGGTCTCACCCGCTTGTCAATGCTGCCACGCTGCCCTTGGGGCAAGGTTAGTTGCTCTCAACTATTTGAAACCCTTTGCGTTATTGTTGGTTTCCTTTCATCTCTGGCTCATACTGAAAACTTAAAGTTTTCATTCACAGCACTATTCTAAAAATTGCTTTCTGATGTAAGCTATTCTTCGCGGTGTTCGAAGGCCTTGGTCATACATACGTCTATATCCGATTGCATGCTTTCCTCAATACTTTTTGTAGAATACCACTTAATGCACACTCGTTTATACTGTTGATAATTTTTTGGATTAGGTCTAGCAGTGAGCTTTACTCCATTATTAGTTAGTTTTGTCTACAAATAACTACATCGTCTAATGATCTTGTTTTTACTTTTTTTTATACCCAAGGCCTCCTTAAACGGGTTAACCTGCGTTAGACTGATTATGTGTTAGAGTGGTTAAACATCACACAATAATTTTTATAATTGCTGCCACCTAAGGGTTTTTCTGCTATTACTGCAACCTATAACCCAACTAAATTAGTATTTGGTGCTATTATACCCAATG